CGAGCAGTTTTCCCGTTTTGAGGCTTTGCGCCAGTACATGTTTCCGGTTCCCACGTTTGATCTTGAAATCAGATATTTCTTGTAATCTGTTAGCCCGCTTTGGGGCCCAGTGACCTCGGGGAGCGTGACGCGGGGCGCCTCAAAAGCTACCCGGGAACACGTAACCAGCGCCAGTTTGGGAGTTTGCGAATGTTTCATTCGTGTTACGCGATTGGGGGACGTTCCACGTTGTGCCTCGCAGCACGGCGGCGGACAGTTCGTCGAGCGGTAGGGGTGGAAGTCGACCGCGCGTCATCGAGGCTACTCTTGTGACCCAGCTTGCGTGAGGTGATGCGGGGACCAGGGAGGCCCCAGGCTCCGAGGCCGTGGTGCCAGGCCACAGTCGGCCCGGACTAGTAGGTCGACCCTGCCAAATCAAGGGTACCCTTGTGTCCTGTGTCTCGCGACCCATGCCTCCTGCATTCCTGCGGCAATGTGGCCCTCGGAAGGGTCTTGTGTCCTCTCGCGTGTCCTGTCCAATGAAGGCCGACTGTATTGCGACGTCGCGAGCCCGACATGAAGCAAGGCTGGTCCATGCGCAGCCATTTTGGCCGAAATTTTTGCTACCGCTGCCGACGTTGGGCAATCGGCGGGGCACACTCGTCAACTCCACTCCTCGGATGGAGTCCCTTGCTCGGTGAAGTCCAAGAAGTCGGTGTGTCGCCACTGCACGCTGCACTGTGAGCTAAAGTGCACGAGGGTCACTTGCAAGGAGATATCCAGGTGCCTGTGGCAAGTCCTACCACCGTGTCAGCCCATCATTCTGGATGGCGGTTGATCGAGGGAGCACGGGAGGCCGTCACGTTTGACATTTCGTGTCTCCAGGCTTGAGGGAGTTGTGGTGATGTTGATGATGATGATGAGGATGAGGATGGTGATGAGGATGAGGATGGTGATGAGGATGAGGATGAGGATGAGGACGAGGACGAGGACGAGGATGAGGAGGAGCAGTAGGCGGAGGAGGAAGATGAAGGCCGTCACATGTGTCACCTTTGGTCTGTCACGGAACTCGTTTGGGTCGTATTGGGGTTGTCTTGGCTTCTTGTGAGGCACTGTTGGGGGTCTTTTCCGCGCCCTTGGGCCGTTTTGGGGCTCTCTTAGGTCGTTTAGGGGCTCGTCTAGAGGCCCTCTTGGCCGTATGGTGGATGTCGGGGGGCCGTCTTACCACCGTCTTGGGCAGTCGAAGGGCCTTTTAAGGTTGTCTTGAACCCACGGGAGGCCCTCTTGGGCCTTTGTGAGTGCCTCTCGGGCCCTGGTGAGGTCCCCTTGGGCTCTTTGGACCCTCGCGGGGGCAGTCTTGGGGCAATCGTGGAGCCTTTGTCCTATGCGAACGTCCGCCAAAATTCAAAGGTTGTCAACGATTTTGAGTTCTTCGGGCTCTCTTGGAGGTCCTCTCGTGGCCCTCTTGGAGCCATCTTGGGCCGTCTTGAGGCCACATTCGGCCGCCTTGGGGCCATCTTGGCCCGTCTACGAGCCATTTTGGCCCATCTTGCCGTCCCTGGTTGCCTGCACGCGCCGCCCTGGAAGCTCGCGACGCGAACCCGTCGTTGTCAACAAGGAATTTTCTGGGTAGTCGAAGGCCAGACTGTCAGATTGGATTGGGCCCCAAGGGCCAATCTGGCCCGGCCAAACTGGATGATTTGGGTTATTCGCCAGACTGGATTCGCGTTGGCTCCCTCGCCAGATTGCCCCCGTTTGCCAGATTGGGCCTGCCAGATTGGCGCCAGATTGGCTTCGACTACCCAGATTTTGGCTTCGGGAGCGTGGCTCCATCCTTTGGTTCGAGGGGTCGTGGCATCGGGGGAGGGGGGGTGCACGCGGAGCTCCGTCCGTAGGGTGTGCGGGGGTCCCGCTTATGAGGTTCCCGGAACCCTTCCGAGCAGCACCTGGCATTGAAATCTCGGGGGCTCCCAAACGGGGCGGTGACCACACCGTGTGGTGAGTCGGTGGGGATTCGGGGCCACCGCACGGTTTTGGGACTGGGGTCGCTCTCCGAGGATGTCTCGGGCGACTGGAGCCTCCAGGGTCCCAGAACCGTGTGGTGACGGACCGTGCGGTGAGGTCTCTGCGGATTTCGGGGTCACCGCCGGGTCTGTCACCACACGGTTTTGGGACACCCAACGAACACGCCCACATCGTGCAGGCAATGTGGCGGATTCCATCGATGGTTAATGAGAGAGACCACGCTGTTGTTGGAAATGTTCACGGGCAAACGCGCAGAAGCCGGAGCCGGTCAGACAGTTCCTCCAGCGTCTGCCGTCGCAAGCGGCGGAGAAGTTACCGCCCAGATTCACGAGGGCGGCGATCGTTGTCTTATGAGCAGCGTCCTTCTAGGATTCGACTGTGTTCTGGCGATTCGTCATCTTCCTCCTGGCGTCGACTGTGCTCAGCGTCGCCAATCACGACGTCCGACCAGCGGTTTCTGGACATGAGGGCAGCTTTTGTCAGTCTTCGGGATGAGATGAGGAGCCAGAGGCCACCTTCCGAATGGTGCAACTCCTTGTTGCGATCGTGGTGTTTTGATCCCGAGCACAAGCCGAAGCTGTCTAAGGAAGAACGGTCGCACATACCATCGCCCATAACAAGGAAAAAGCTTGCAGACTTTGCTCCCTCAGCTCAGGAGACTGTCTACCGTGCGCATGAGATGCATGCCGCGCTAGTTGGAGATGCCAGGTGGGACCCTTCAGGCTTGCTCGCTTTACCTCCCGACGTCATTGAGGGCTTGACAAGGGCCTTCGAGCGCAGGGGGTGCAGGAAGCTTGGCATCGAAGATGCACTGTGCCTCCCCTTTCTGCTCTACTCCACTGACACAGTGCACATCCTAAGGCTGTCCAGCGCCATGCGTGGATTGAGGAGCTTCCGTGGACCGTGTTCCGCTATGGCTGCCAAAGCTGAGCTTGGAGATTACGCTGGTGTCCTTTGTGCATTGCTCGAGGCTGGTGCGTTGTTGCGACGCTATGTGAAGCCATCACGTTTGTTGCCTGCTCTTAGTTTGCAAGCTCCGTCGTTCTTTGACACGCAGCATTTAGCATTCAGAGGATTGTGGCTGCCTTCTGATTTTGACGTAGCTGATGTCTGTAGGTGTTACAACTTTACATCTTGGTCATTGTGGCTTCGCGGTGCGTTATCTGTCCTTCGAGTGTACAAAGGCCGAGTGGATCGAGGCGCGAACGCCCCAGTGTTGTTGATTGCTCTCCGCAGGAACATAATGAAACTGGCGTTGCCTACAACAGCCCTCTATTTTGCAGCGTCCCCTGATGGAAAGGAGGCTGGAGCAGAAGATAATCCGTATGAGTGTCTTCCTAAAAGCAGGCATCGCCCACAGCGTAACGATTCTGGTGTGGCTCAGTGTGAGAAAGAGATCGTGCTGCCTCCGTTCTGCTACTTAGAGCCGTTGAAACGCATGAGCGTCGTGTCGCTGGATCGTTTGCGTAGTACAGATCTTCTCAAGCAGCTGGCAACCGAGTGGCAGCTCAATCCGTTCGACACAGATCGGCTTCAGGCGGAGTTGAGCACGGCGGTGAACGAAGTAACAACGGGCAAAAAGGCACTCTCGAGTCGCGACATTGAGAATTGCCTTTGTGTTTTCGTCAGCGATGTGCACGGCTCGTGGTTCGATGAATTCGATATATAGCTCTTCGTAGTCTAAGGCAGTGTTGTGAGCATGAACGCTCATGGCCACACTGGCCAGACAGCACACCTGGCCGTCTTTCAGTAGGACCTGTGATGTGTGGTGCGCGTGTCTGGGCAGACCTTCGAATGATGCTGCAATGTTCTCGCTCAGGACGATGGGGTCTTGTATAATTGGTCGCCTCCGCCTGTGAACGCTACCCGCCTGCGGTTGCAGTCACATCGGGATTCGCGAAACAATGGTCGGCAGACTGTTCACTTCCACGTTCTCTTCCGACTTGGGTAGTCGAAGGCCAGACTGTCAGATTGGATTGGGCCTTAAGGGCCAATCTGGCCCGGCCAAACTGGATGATTTGGGTTATTCGCCAGACTGGATTCGCGTTGGCCCCCTCGCCAGATTGCCCCCGCTTGCCAGATTGGGCCTGCCAGATTGGCTTCGACTATCCAGTAAGAGTGACCTTTCGCTAGAGTGACCTTTGGTGCGGGCCCAACGGGGTTCCCTGGTCGCCGAACGCGATGCGAGAGTAGCGTCTTGCGCGCCTGTGTTTGGCACCCCCGCGACCCCGAAACCGCCGCGCACCAAAGGTCTTACCATGGGTCACTCTTGCGTGTAGTCGAACCTACCCCCCAGGGAGGTGGTCGGAGCCCTGTCCGGAGTGCTCGGCAGGATCTCGGACACGCCGATGGATTTCTTCTGCAGGTGGCCCACTGCTAGAGCAGAGACCAGCGAGGGGCGGCTTGGGGAGCCCCCAGATTAGGATGCAACTTTTACGATAGTAAGTTCAGCATCGGCACTGGTACATCCGTGGTCGAAATCGGGCTCCATAGTTTTGAATCGTTCTTGCGACGATCTTCCAGGAGTTGCTTCCTGACCTAGGGCCATCCAGAGGAGATCTCCAAGGTCGTCCTGCGAGATTTCCCGATGTCTTCCGAGCCCCCTGGGATCTTTCCCGAAGTGGCAGAAACGACCACCGTCTCTGGTGCGCGCATGTTTGTCGAGCGTGCGTGCGGCGCTTGCGCGACAGGCACCGCGCTCACACTCGACTCGGCAGCCCCACCGCCCTCCGCCTTCGTGGAGACGCCTGTGCGGTGAAATGTCGAGCGAAGAAGGTGCGGCCATGCCAGAGGTCTGGGCGGTTTCCCGGCGCTTGATGGCACCATTGGGGGAATATTGGGAAGAGGGGCCATGAGCGGCCCTTTCCGCCATTCCTGCCCCCAGCCCTCCCCTGCGTTCGCGAGACTCCTTCAGGAAACGACCTCGATAGGCATATTGCGCCCCAGCGATTCTTGATTCTCACATATCGTTGTGATAGCCACGCTCGACCCCGCAGTGCAGTGGACAAGTTGGCAATCGGCTACCACAGCACGCTGCAGTTGGCTGCGCTCGGTGGGACGGGGAGGAGGCAGTGATCGGACGATACATGTAGCCCTCCTCTCGTCAAGGTGAGGACCAGAAGAGAATCATTGATGCGGGGTGTAGCGTTTCTATAAGGTCCGAATGTCAACAGCACGCCATATGTACTACTGGGGACTATCGCTTTGGTGGGCTCACCACAGGATGCATCGAAGCCAGGCTCATAAACGACTGTTCAAGCATGATCCCTCGTGAGTCAGGACAGACACCTTCCCCCTATGTTGCATCGACCTGGTGGGAAGGGCGAAAATGGTGCACCATATTTGTGAAGCGCCTAAGGTTGCTTCAGGAGAGACTTACGTGGAAGCTTCAATCAATTGCAGAACATATGGCGTGCATTGCCGTTTAGTTTTGCATGCTCTGTGGTTGTAGAGCCTGACCTCGACGCCGTGGGCTGTCCCGTGGCTGTTTCGAGTGTTGTCTCGTGGTTGCCTTGAGGGTTCCCCCGTGGTTCGCCCTGGGATTGACCTGCGCTTGTCCCGTGATTAATTCGTGGGTTGTCCCATAGTTGTTCCATGGATGTCCCGTGGGATGTGCAAATCAAGATGCAATTCCAATTGTTGAGTCATGAGACGATGTTCTGGTATATGGATACTACAACAGACACAGTAAGCCGTCAACACATCTACAACACACACACACATCTGTTTGTACGTGCAGTGCAGTATGTCTGTTAGCACATGGTGCAAGTATATACGTAGCGGTTCTGAATTATTGCGTTGTGGAAAGTTGGCAAGCATGTTTCTTTATACATGTGTTTGTACATCAAGTGTTTTTTAGTGCGCTAGGCAGCTTGTACACATGTAACCGGCGTGTGCGCAGATCGCAGAGGCATGGGGCATGGAGAAGACGACCCGCCGTGAGTAATTCTGTCTGCTTGTGCTGATTGAGCCGTCGTCATTTGGCAACTTTTACAGCATACTTAGCAATAGTGGTAGTCAGATGGGCTCCGGGTTGCATGTATGTACATCTTGAGGCGAACACTCGATATTGGATAACTCCTAGAAGATAGTCGGGTGAGGGGTTTCCGCTAATGCGGGTTCTTTTTAAGTCTCATGTGTGTTGGCTGCTTCGGGGCGTTCAAACGTATTTGCGACTATCTTCTCCTTCTTCTCTTACCCCTTCCCGCTAGGGCCGAGGGGGCCGGCGGGGCCCGTCTGCGGACGCGCGCGCGCGACCACGTGGGGGCCGGGGGTGGGGGGGGGCAGTGGGGCCCGACAATCGGAGGTCTTGCGCGCGCGGCGGCGTCGTGGGGTCTGGGCGTGGAGGCTAAGGGGAGCCTTGGGCCCACCGCCGTGGGGACGACCGTTGCGCCACTCATGGTTGCTTATGAGTGGTCTGGGGGGGAAATCCTGTGTCTGCGGGGCGTTGTTTCTGCTTGATCGTATACGGTGATTCGTGCGGCGGTATGCCGAGGGCCAATCGTGTGCAGCACAGTGTTGGCGCTGGGTTTGTGTCCGCGGAAACGCCTTGCTCAAGAAGAAAGGCGGCGCATGCGGCAGAATGCCAATTTTCATTGCGGCGTAAGCATGATACCTGACGCGGGGCCCCACCATCTCTCACTCATAGTCGTTCCGCTGGGTTTATTGCATAATTTTCTAATTTCTAATACATCGTCCATTCCCGTGTGTCTTTACAGATAGAGTATACATGGCTGGTATCCTAGCCGGCCGCTCTGCGGTTGATCGGGAGTTTTTGTATATAGAAGAAGGTGCGTGCGCTTGTTGGCGAGGGTGAGGATGAGGTTCCTCCTCCTCCTCCTCCTCCTCCTCCTCCTCCTCCTCCATCCTTCTCTTGCCTCCGTCTGTCCTCCTCCACCCCACAGCTCCATCATCTTCTCCTCCTCCTCCTCCTCCTCCTCCTCCTCCTCCTCCTCCTCCTCCTCCTCCTCCCTCCTCATTCCTCCTCTGGGCACCTCCCCCGGGGCGCGGATCCACCGGATGTGATCTGTGTCGGAAACGGTGCCGGAGGCCGCTCTGGGCTCCTCTGGGCACCTCCCCCGGGGCCGGTTTTGTGAGGATGTCTCAAGCGAGGGCGCCGGTTTGGGATTCGTCGACCGGATCTGTCCGGAAACGGTGCCGGAGGCCGCTCTGGGCTCCTCTGGGCACCTCCCCCGGGGCCGGTTTTGTGAGGATGTCCCCAGAGGGTGCGGGGATCGATGCTATAGATCCGCGCGCTGTGGATCTTTAATGCTAGGTCGTCTGCTCGATATGGTTCGATTTATGTATATCTCGATATGGTTCGATTTATGTATATCTCGCTATGGTTCGTATATATATATATATATATATGTCTATAGATGTATGCATGGTTATGTAACTTTAGTGTGGGTATATATATATATGTATATGTATACACATATAAAAAACATAGGTATATGCATATGTAGATGTGTTGTTGTATGTGTATACGTAGAGAGGTGGGAGTTCTGCATTGTTCACAATAGAAAACTAAATTTGAATTTTCTGGGGCCCTTTAAGGAGGCCGAAGGACGCGCCGACTTTTCTGTTGTGGACAATACAGAACCCCGAAGAGAGAGAGAGAGAGAGAGAGAGAGAAAACAAAAACAAGGAGAGGGAAAGGGTGGTAGGTTCTGAGCTGGGCAAATGGACAGGGTCAGGCTCGCTGTGACCAGCCGTTTTGGCCCAGGTGTCCTCTTGTATAGTATGTCTGCGAAGAAGAAAGTTTCGAGGGCAAAACCAGGCGATGGGCTGCAGAAAATCTTGTGCCGCTTCGTGAAGACGCCCGAAATGATCGAGTACACCCAAGATATGAAGGATCGGGGCCGGGGCGGATTGCGTAGCTCTGCTGCCCTCCTCATGTGTGCCGCTTCTTCGGTTTATCGTTGGACCATGGCTCCCTCGCAATCCAACTAATTGAGCCCCGCGTGTTCTGCTTCGCTCCCTCGCATTTCCTCCATGTGAGGACCCCATGGACAAAGATGAGCTGGTCAAGCATGCTCCTCTGCTGGCTGCGGTGCGACAGTACATATGCCCCGACACTGGAATCAACCAGGCCATCTTGAAGCCAATGCTTGAGGCGGTGGCCGATGATAAGGAATCCACATGGCACCTGGGCGAGGAGACGGACAGCTGGTCTACCCAGACAGCGAAATCGTTGAGGGCCATGTTGCGTCACGTGGCGCAGGCCGTGACGAAGGCGTGTGCCAGGCGTGATCCTCTCACTTGTCTGCGCCTCTTTGTGCACAGTTCACAAGCACGGCATCTTCCTCCCACATTTGACAGAGAGGAGAGGCATATGGGGGGATCGATAAGGAGAGAGAGAGAGAGAGAGAGAGAGAGAGAGAGAGCGAGAGAGAGAGAGATATGAAATAACGAACGAGAGAGACACATGCAGGTTTTGTCTGCAGTTATTCGGAAGTTATTCGGAAGTTATTCGGAAGTTATTCGGAAGTTATTCGGAAGTTATTCGGGAGTTATTCGGAAGTCATTCGGACGTCATTCGGAAGTCATTCGGAAGTCATTCGGGGGTTGGTCGGGGCAGCAGCGTCGGCGACGCCCAGACGACATCCGAAAGTCGTTCGGAAGTCATCCGGACGTCATTGATGGTGGCGGGGCAGCAGCATCGGCGACACCCAGCGCCCGCGGCCGCAGGCAGAAGGAGAAGAACGCCCCGATCCCCGATTGGATCAAGCAATTCTGGCTCCCCGAGGAGCGGCGCGCTAGCCTTTTCCGCCCACGCAGAGCAGCTGTGCTCGAGCATGCAGATGTTTGGCGGGAGGTGACGTGGGGTGGAGTGCATGCAGATCTCGGGCCTCCCCGTTGTAGTTGTGTACTTGTGCTTCCCTGGTCGTGTCCCCTTCGTGCAAGGCCTAGCGCCCCCCCGTTGTCATTGTGCGTTTGTTTGCTCTCGAGGACCTCCCCGATGGCGACAAGTACCAGTACGACTTCAGTGCGCACCTTCTGGAGGGGCCGGGTAGCACAGCGCACTGCAGCGGTCTCCTCTCAGTCTCTGTCTATTGGCACTCGCCCCTATCCAACCGCCGTGCCTGGGTATAGTGGGTCAGAGGCCTCATGGGTGTTGGTTGGGATCTTGTGGTTGGCCTCCCTGGGGCCTCTGGGGACCTCTTGGGGGGCATCTTGGGGCGTCTTGGGGGCCTATTCGGGGCCTCTGGGGGGACTCTTGGAGCCTCTTGTCCGATATCGGGGGGGGGTGCGATCCTCGCGAGGGGCGTCAAACAAATAGCCCCCAAAAGTCGCGCGGGAACGCGCGGGGGTCACGCGGGAAGCCCCAAGAGATTCGAGAGCGAGGGCTCTGGCCACCCTAATGAATCCCCAGGAAATTAGGATGCGCCCACTCCGTGCCCATGCGCACGGTGGCGGATATGTGTGTTTCATTGTGCGTGCCTCCGTTGCACCGTCCATCTCAAACGCTGTGGTGTCGATGTGCGTGCGACGGCGGAGGCGATGCTGCGATGGCTGTGATGTTGAGGCGTTGAGCTGCGCTGGGAAGGGGAGGCGGGCGTGCGCATGGACATCGCGCAGGACACTCCCGTGCCAGACTACTCGTTGCCGATCGTCGCGCGGGAGGGGGCCCACTCGGACAGCGAGGTCGAGGCGGAGTGGGAGGACGGAGATAAGCACAAGATGGCAGGACTGACAGTAAAGAAATTCACATCCTTGAAGGCAGAAAAGAAGGAGGGTAGGACGCTATGGGAAGAAAGCACCAAAGCTGGGCGCAGAGTTCAAGTGAGGACGTTCACACGTTTCAACAATGACGAAACATCCGAATTTGTGTCGATCTACGAGAAGCCTGAAAAAGAAAGCTGGAAGATGAGGTGCCAGATGGTGATCAAGGGTTTCTACGCAGACTGGAAGGAGCTGTTCATTGGGATGGCGAAGGATTTCCTCCGAGGGAAGATAGACAAAGCGGCGATAGAAGTTAAGAAGCACGAGTACATCCGAGACATGTTCAAAGCATCAGGTAAGGAGTACGGGCCGAAGCCGAAAGCG